TACGGCCATAAATGTGTGACGGTTGTAGCGAACGTGTTAAAATATTTGAACAAAAGACGATCCATTTGTAAGGAAGAACAGTAGAAGCAATTGTTTCTCTACAAATAGCATCAATATTCTGACGACTCTAGAAATTATTCTTTAAACTATCGGCAATTTGGAAATATGTTGTTGAAGTTATGGTTTCGAACAACTTATTTGTAAGTCATCTAGTAGTTCTGGTGTTAATAGAAATTATTCTTCGAATTGTTTTATCATTCTGACGATTCTAGAAATTATTCTTTAAACTATTGGCAGTTTGGAAATATGTTGTTGAAGTTATAGTTTTGAACAACTTATTAGTAAATCATTAAAATCCGAGCAAGTTAAGCACATCGACTTCACCGAATCATTCGATCATTCTGATAATTTTAATAGAAATTTTTGTATTATTTGATGATTCTGGTAATTGTCTAATTATTTTCTAATACATGTCCTTTTACGATATGTGGAAAATGGAATGCTGAGTTTTGACTTCTCATAATATCTATTTTATACAACACCATGACAGAATATATAAATATGGTGTCCACTTTGTCGGGATTGTTTAAGTGAAGAAAGATTAAACGGAGAGGGACATCGTCCAGTGCTGCATCAGTTGCTTACCACGCTAATTTTTCGTTTATCTGCTCTGACTCGACTGCTCGAGGAATCTACACGTTAAGAATATTATGCTAATGACTAACATAAGCTATACTAATTTCAGATCATTTGCATGATAACTTAGTGCTGGCCCACCATCCGGAAGACCCTTGGGAAGCCCTCGAAAAACTACTTTGCGAAGTCATTTGTTAGAACTAATCTGAACTGATCGTTCTTGGATAATTATTTTTCAAACGTTGCGATGTTGCGCAATGTTTCACTCCTCCTCTAATACAATAAACTCTCTGTAAGACCATGTAACTTTGAAGTCATATATCAGTATATTGGCATCTTGCTGATTTATTTCATTTTGCACTCAAAGTAGTGAATAAAATTAAGTAATCAGTTAACTGTAACTTATATACGCTTAGGCGTGAAAGTTTAACGTCATTGTAACTTGAAAGTTATAAAATTGTTAATTCGTATTCATATGTGGATACGTATTAATTTTGTACTGCATAGATTTTGTTATAATCATGAACAAAAATTCGGCCTATAGAGGCTTAAATCAGTTAACAAAGTTTACTAATTTCTACACTCTGCGAACATCAATTCTAAGTTAACCCTTTGCACTTCACAAATTTGTCACTGGCAATACTCAATATTTCCCGAGACGCAGACATTTTCTAAAATTGACTTAGCAAAAAATCGCACATGCATTGAGAAACTTACATTCATTATTTTCTGAAATATTAACCATATCATCTACAACTTACATTAAGTAAATTTCTTATTTTATAATTTCGCTGCGTTCAATCAAGTGGCGACTGAGAGTTGCCTCTCGAATACAAAGGGTTAAACATCGAATTTAACACTAGGTTTATGTAACCCGTCAATTTGACGGATATTGAATATTTTTAAACATTATTTGCATCACAGAGGTCACGTTACATTACTCTCAAATTGTAAAATTCTTCTTTCTATTCGAATATAAGTAATTGCCAGAACAAATTAAAAGACGTGAATCTATGTATTGTAATTTTCCCTTTTCAAAGGCATTAAGGCATTTGAAATGTCTAGAGTGCAAAGGGTTAAGTCAATACTCTGATGAAGCTACAGTTTCCGCTATTTATATAAACGAACAGTTCTCTAGGAACAATAAAGTATAGAATAAACGTCCGTTAACCTAGTATTAACAATTTTGCTCTATTTGTAGTGCTAAAGGTTAAATCATGCTATCAAATTCCAGAGTTCAATTCTTCGAGTCGAGGAGCTGTTTACTAGTGAAAAACAGAAATCCGCGGAGAAACGATACCGAGAAAAACGAGACTACTGTCGGTGGAACCAAAGTTGAAAGATTCCATTCGGCGAAAGTAATTAACGGTTCTCCCCGGCGCGAAGAAAAGACACGTCTCCGACGGCACGCGAACCGATAGACGTCTGGCTTCCTGCCGCGGCGAAGACTTGCAATTTCGCGGGCCGATATCGCGCCGCGCCGTTTATTCACGGAGCGTCGAGAGATCGCGACAATGGGACACGAGCGTAGCGGACCGTAGCCAATTTCACGCCAAGATTTTCACTTTTCACGGCGCATAGCCGACCGATCGACAGCGCGACGAAAACGACTTCTCGCTTGATCAGCTGGCGTAATCGTCACTTATTTCGCCATTTCACCTCCCACCCGGAATTACCAAACTCTCATTCGATCGTGGACTTCGTGATTTCGTGCTTGACACGTCGAATGCCGTAGGGGTCACCGGTGACCCGTGGCCAAATCGAATTACTGCGATTTACTCGTCAAGCAATGATCATTCGACAACTTTTCTGTGTTAGTAATAATGTAATGTAACGCAATGTTTTAGGAAGATGAAATGCGACTCGGTTAAATAATTTGATACTATACTTTTTCGTTTTGTGTATTTATTGTTGGGAGCATTTTTAGAAATACTCTAAGACCTAACATTTCTGTTTTACTAATAGCGTAATATAAAGCAATAATGTTTTAGGAAGATAAAATGCGACTCAGTTAAATAATTTAACTATACTTCGTTCGTTTTGCATATTTATTGTTAGCTTTTTTAGAAACACTGGAAGATTTAACATTTCTGTGTTACAAATAGTGTAATGTGAAGCAATAATGTTTTAGGAAGATAAAATGCTACTCAGTTAGATAATTTGATACTATATTTTGTTCATCTTTTGTATTTATTGTTAGAAGCTTTTTTAGAAACACTGGAAGACCTAACATTTCTATGTTACAAATAGCGTAATGTTAGATAATTTGATACTATATTTTGTTTATTTTGCGTGTTTATTATTAGAACCTTATTTCAGAAATGCTCGATTAGATTATTATTATATATAACAATGAAAGTGTATAATAGAAAAAAGTTTGTTCTAATGAATAATATAATAAACAATATATTTTGAATGTTTCATGTATCTTCGTATCGTGTGCATCTTATGCAATCTTGCACTTTCGAATTTGCTCGTAAAAGTCCACCGTCTACGAACTGTATTTATAATTTATAAGAATTCCAATTGGCAACTTTTCAACTGTTTTACTGTGAAATGGTTGCTGTGAAATGTCGATAGATTATTTATTTTATCCTAGGTATTGGGATAGTCAAAAAGAGTTGCTACGATATTGTCTTCTTGCGCAGAGCAATACTTTCGGTTTAATTAGCCATGATGTCGATCTGTTTCACTTGCAGTTCTTGCGGATGGTTCTAGATCTTTCTCGCATTAACAGTGTGACTGGTTTCCACGCTGGATTCCCGTTCTAAATGCAACAACGTTGTTGCATCGCAAATTATACGATAGAACCGTTGTTGAAAATTAGATTCGATTTGCATAATTGACCAGCTGACCGAAACCTGCATAATTGCACATCGCGTGCATTATGACATTTTAATAGAAATTTAGACACGCAATTGACAACAACAATCTCATGTAAATATATATTTAATACATTATTAATCCACTTGTTTATTGCTAAATTATTCTAATTCCCGAATAACGACAACCGCATAGATTTAATTGCAACATAAATTATTTGATTTACAAATATCTTAATCGTAAAATATGCAATTGAGAACATGAATTATTCTTAAACTGATAGTATCGAATTAACTACAATGAATTCGAATGAATATACGGATCATTAAAATCGTCTGGGCTCCTGGAAACAAGAATGTCAGCGTGTCCGCGGCCGCCATTATGTCGGCGCGACTCGGATTAGCGCGAAATGTCGTTATTATCCGGAGGAATCGTCAGTGGCAATGATTCAAACGTTCTTTCCTCGCTTTGTAACCGGATTCCCTTGACGAGTTGCCGCGCATTGTAATTACATCGGTGTAACATTCGAAGGGGACATTTTAAATGATAATAGAACCGGCTGCAAAAGACCACCTTTCAGTCCGCGAAATTACACTCGCCGCAGCGGACGTCGGGAGTAACGTTTTATTCGTTTCACCGGCGAAACGCGATATATCTCGAATAAAGTAATTATACGACCGTCCTCGCCGGCGATTAAACGGAAAATGAATTGTTTAACCAAGACACTGCGGGACTGGAAACCACAAAATTTCATTCTCTAAATGATATTCAATTTCGCTTGTGTTATACTTGCGAGTATTACGCTGCTGAAGCTCGCTTGTTTTCTGAACATTCGTGAACAAGGGATTTCTAATGTTCCATTAACACATTGCGCACTGGCAACGAGAAATCTCGTTTTTATGTAAAGATACTTAGCTATGCAACTTTGCTAATTATCACAGTATTTAAAAGAATATTAAATTTGATTCGAATTGATTATCTATTTAAAATAGATTACATAACAATATGATATCTGTGTTTTTATATATGTAATGATATAAGTTGATCTTACTGAAAATCGCCATCCGCACGATTCAGTTTTTTTTAAAATTGCCAGTACGCAATGTGTTAACCGTTTGGATGCTAAACCACTTTTGTGGATATTTACCAAAATTGCGGAAGTGAGCGAAAAAATTAATAAGAGTAGTTATCTAATGAGATCACAAATATTGTATTACAAAAAAGTATCAAAAAATAACATTTATTCAAATAAATTTACTTTGATTTATTTCTTGAAGAACATAGTAAGAAAATTATAATTGATACTGATAAACAGAAGCTCCTCAGCACTCAAACGGTTAATAACCAATTCATCAACTTGCCTTCAATACGAAAGAACAAGTAGTATTACATGAAATACTCAAAATTCTCGTGGCAGTCAACGTGTCAAACAGTAAGATGATGCTACTATTGACAAGATCAGTCGTGTATAATCTCACTCAAGTTACCTTAAGATTAGAAATTATAGTTACGGCAAATATAATAAAATATCAAGCAAATTTCTAATGGCTGTTGCTGGCAAACCATTTTTTCCCCAACTCGTGACCGCCTTTCCTACCGTATCTGTTGTCGTGTCGCTGATGACCGTCATGGCCCTCGCTGAGTTTGCGGCCCTTCTGCTTGCGATGATGATGACCCTCCTCGTGTTTCTTCTTCTTTCCATGGTGATGCTGGAAAATTCGTTTCACTACCATTATTTCTTCGTGTACTTCAAAAATAATAACAACATGACTATAAAATTCACTATTTCTACATACAAAATATTAACTTTAACTCGACAGTACATGTTAACACTATTTCTACCGAAGGTGTCGAAAGACACTTTTTGAAATTTTAACATAAAATTATTTTTTCAGTTTAATAATTTCTCCTCGATTGAATTTTATACATTTCCTATAATTAATTTTATAATCGTTATTGAAAAAGTCGAAAAGGTTCAGAATATACGACTAAACTTAAAATAATTTTAAGTTAAAAATTCGAAAGTGTTGACATCTTCGGTATAAATAGTGTTAATGTGAAAAATACGATAACCTTGACAAAACCGTTAAAATTCACAAAAAATTTTCCCAAACACTTTTGGAAACGCAGCATGAAATAATCAAGAAATTTAAGTAAAAAGTTCAAATGTGACTCGAAGTCACATCATGGTCCGATTGGGGTTAACCCTTTGCACTCGAAAGGTCACCGCTTGATTCGATACAGCGGAACTACGAAGTTGAATATTTAGTATTTTAAATTAAACTTTGCATAGTTATAGGAAGTATTTAAATAAAATAGCTTCGTCCCTTAATTTATCTGTGAATTTTCGTTAACACTAGAACTACCGTACCAGTCAAAATGACTGGTTTCGATTTTTTTGTTTAGCGATTATTAATATCTTCGAAGTATTGAATACTCGAAATGATTTTGAAAATAAATAGTTTCACTAGAGTACTATATTGAATGTCTAAAGAAACTGAAAATAATCTATTGTTACAATTTTTATGGGAATTGCATATTAATCGTATTAAATGCTTGGTAGTTCTATTGTTAATAAAATAAAGCTAAAACCATGGCCAGAATATAAAATATGGAAACAGTACTATAACATATTCCATAATACAACAGTACTATGGAAATAATTTTTAAAATTAAAAAAATTTTGAATTACATATTAATCGTATTAAATGCTCTGTAGTTCTAGTGTTGAATTAGTTTCAAACAATGTCGTCTGTATCTCGTCGAAGAATGTTAAATATTTCCAGTGAAAAACTTTCGAGTGCAAAGGGTTAATTAGATTCTGTTGTAGCCGACCTGTTTGTGAGCAGAATCCACGTGGCCCATCTTCTCGTGGCCACCTTTCTTGCCCTCGTGCTCGTGATGGTAGCCGCCATGTTTCTCCGTCTCGCCGTCCTCGTGGTACTCGTCGTAGAAGTCGTGCTTCTTCTCGTACTCGTCCTATAACAACGGATAATCGGCTCTGACAGATTAGCCGGGTAATCTTTAGTCGGTATATTAATTATCCAGCATCTCTGCGCTTGATGCTCGGGAAATTGAGCCATCGGGTTCTCGCTAGCTTCACGCGAACAAGAAACTCGTGTCCCGTTGACAGGTTCGATAAGGTCACGGTAAAATGCAACGAACGCTGCTCGCGGTAATCGAAGGACAACGTAATTAATTAGTTCACTGATTAATTTGATCGTGTCTACGAACTTCGTTTCAGATGCTTTGTGATTTACGTAGGTAAAAAATTGTTTCTCTGTTATGAAATTCGTGAAATATATTTATATATTTTTCTGATCAATTTTTAATTTATGAAAACGAACTTTTTGAAATTTTGAAACCCCTTGTCCTTTTCCTCAACTGTAATTAACAGTTAATAGTTTACTAGAAAAAGAGAAAAATTCTAGACTTTGTCCTACATTTCCTTTCAATTATAACAATTGACAACTCTAATCAACGCGACTACTTCGTCGTTAACCCTTTGCACTCGGCAGTTTTTCACTAGAAATATTTGAACATTTGATGATGAGATAAAGACGATATTTTGTGAAATTAACTCGTAGAGAAATCACACGTACATCGAGGAACAAAGCTACTTTATTTCTATATTTCTCAAATTGATGTCTTATACACAGTATAATATTAAATATCAAATTTTATAACTTTTCTATATAAAATCAAGCAGTGAGTGAGAGTCACCTCTCGAGTACAAAGGGTTAATAGTTTACTAGAAAAAGAGAAAAATTTTTAATTACAACAATTGAGTACAGAAGAATAATATTCACTTCGAATTCGACTGAACTGAGTAATATACATCTATTAACAACAAACCTACCAAGCAGTTAAATTTAATTTTTGAGATTTGTCTTTAGCAACTTCAAAAGTGCATCTATCGAGGCTTCAATTGTATTATCTGAATTATCTGTTATCAATCAATTGAATTATCTGTTATCTTCTTAATGCAAAAAGGATAAATCAAGAACAGGTTTTGACTCGTCTAGTACGTTTACTGTTAACGATACAAGGAATCGTGTATAAATGAATGAAACAAACCTTCTTCGAAACACTGTGCTCTCCCTTAGTGCTATAGCCTTTCTGGTGTTTCCCCTCTTCGTCGAATTTCTCAGTCTTCTCACCCTCCTCGCCGCGGTGACTTTCGCCATAATGATCGATCTCCTCGTGTTTCTGCTCCTCCTCCCCGTCCTTCTCGTCGTACTCTTGTTTATGATTCTCTTTGTCGTGGTGACCCTTCTCGCCCTTATCGAACTCGTGGAAAACCTTGTAACCCTGTTTCAAAACAAGTGCAATTAGTAAACAGAGGGGAAAGCTGCGTGATAATTAAACAGTGCGTTTACAAGCATTCATTGACACTGCTCTATTGTCTCTAAAAAATAGATCTTCAAAATTAAAGTATAATCTGTACAAAACAATATTCATGAAACTCCAAAGATTAGAATTTTACAAAATATTGACAAAATAAATCTGACAATTCCCCAAATTCCAGATACACATCGAATAAATAAACGTTCCAACGGAAATCTGTTCCAAATTGCCAGAAAAATTAACTTTCAAAATGCATGAACTCGTTCCCATGTTCAACCCTTTGCACTCTATAGAACCATTATGAAAGCATTAACCCTTTGCACTCGAAAGTTTTTCACTAGAAATATTCGATATTCTCCGATGCGAAACAGACGATGTTCTTTGAAATTAATTAATGAGGTAACATGTATAAGTTAAGGAGGATAGTCATTCTATTTCAATATTCCACATATTGATGCATCATATAAAGCTTAATATTATATATAAAACTTTATAATTTTGCAGATCAAATCAAGTGGTGACTGAGAGTCACCTCTCGAGTGCAAAAGGTTAATAGTACTATGTTACGCCATAGAAGCATTAACCCTTCGATTATGGCCGAACGAAACGATAAAATTTAAAATTCAACATTAAATTTTCTATAATATATCAACACACGGAACATCAAAATAAAATACTTCTGTCACTTAATTTCTACAAGGTATTTCTTTGCGTCAGTTGCAAAAAATATCATTGATATTCCATCAGAAAATAACGAATATTCATTGAGAAAAATATTCTCGAGTACAAAAGGTTAATAGTACTATCTTAACAAACGAAATTAAGGAAACAAAATTTGCAAAGTTTCTTTTAAAAACGAGAATAAACAATCTAAGGAATGTTATATTTTTCAATATTCCCTAGGGATATAAAAATAATTGTAGTTACTGGTAGATTACAAGTTACGAACGGCGAACTAAAAATCGTTGAGTAAAAAGCATGGAGAATTTCCATAGAGCTGCACGGAAATATCGAAAGGCCGCGCGCAATTTGAGAGCCGCGTTGGCCGAGTAACGAGTTCGCCGACGAATTGTAATTGGCCAAAAGCCGAGGGTTCCCCGTTCGTCGGAATAAAGGTGAAAAGCAATATGTGGAACGTCCGGTGTAGAGGATAGAGTGGGAGGGAGGGCAGGGGAACGACGAAACACCGTGTAGTTATAAAGAATATGTCGCAGGCTGAAGAAAGAAGCGTCGTTCGCTGCCCTAGCATGTCGTTCGCGCAAAAACGACCGTATAATAAATAATGCCCGGCAGCCGTGGACACTAATATTACGGCCGATAAAAATGGAAGGGGTCGACGACGAGGACGTCGACAATGACGAGCCACGGGGACGCGGGCGACGTCGACGGGAGTGGAATCCAGGAATCTTATATGTTTCGGGAACGAGGCTAATAGTCGTTCGTAATAAGAAAGCTCTGAGGATTACGTCGGCTAAGGGATACTGCTGAATAAAATAACTTGGGACCTGTGTTCACGGATTCCTTGTTGTTTTATTGGGCTACTTGTTTCGTTTCGATGAATTTCTTTGTTGCTTATTGTTATGGGGCGTGAGTTTTTGTATGAAATATAGATTGCATTAGTTGGTTTGAAAAATTAGGAATGAGATGCTGATATTTAGATTGAATGAAATATTATTTTTTGTAGTTTTTGCTTGTTGTTTCAGACAATTATTGGAGTCCACTAAAAGCAGAATTTGTTGGAACATAATTAATGAGGAGGAAGGTTCGTAACGTGTCAGTGAAGAAAATGGCGGCTATTATACAGGTGTCGTTAATATGGGCTTGATATGAAATATGTGAAAGGCAATTAAAATTTTCGGAATTCAAAGAAATAAACACATAAGGATGATAATGATTGTCAGCGTAAATTTATACCTTATCACCTTTCTCTTCGTCCACGACATGATGGTCCTCGTGTAGCTCCTTGCCGCCGCCTTTTTCCTCGTGTTTGCTTCCACCTGTAAGAATTAATTACAAACGAAACCCTGAATTCCCAGCAGTGACCTGGTAAGGAATCCTTGAAACAAGAGGAAAGCAATAAATAAAGCTATCAAACTCCGCAAATTGTCCAATCTCACTTCCTCTACTCGTAATGCGTTTCACTTTAAATTGGCCTCAATTACGTTAATAATCTCTCATCACTCTCGCATTACATTTTTCTCAATAAAAACACAGAAAAATTCGCAAATTACATTTAAAAACCCCATGCATACAGCATTCGAAATATACAATTAATATCAATTAAAGGAACAATAAAATACAAATAAATACATGCCTCCGTGTTCACTGGCAGCAACCTCGCTATCCTTCTTCGACTGGAAGTCATCAGGATTCCTCTTTATCCTCTCCGTTGTCGAATAATCAACGAACAAAATGATTAAGAGAAGAAACAGTACGGTGAAGTTTCTAGTTCCGTCGAACAGCATTTTATTAATAGGTTTTCGAGGAAGTTCACGGGGGAAACGAAATGTCGCACTGAAGACTGCGTGGAATCGCAGCGGAGATTTATTGGCTCCGTGGTTCCTATTCTTTCCGGTCCGAGTCCGATAAACACGTTTTTCCTTTGTATCGACTATCTAAAGAAATTTTCCGCTTCCGTTCGATCGAGAGACGAGCGGAAAAAGACGCTTCTCTCTGTTCCAGCTGTCACGGCCGCGTCCGCTTTCACTCGATCCGCTTCGCGACTCCTCGATCGGCCAATATTAATATTTACACGAGGAAACGTGAGGTCTTCGAGTTTGGAACTATCCATTTCATCCATTATCGTATTTACACGCATTCGTAACTCGGTAAATCGTGGTCTGTCGCTCGAATGATGGATTACCGGCGTCTATCCGAATTTTAGGTTAGGTGTTACAGATATGGAGAATATTAATAAATTAATTATCTTTTTAATGATAAAATAATGCCGTTTGAATGTATAATGGATTGTAGGTATTAAAAGTATTAATGAATTGGTTGTTTGTTTTTATTGTAACATTGTAATTTGGATTCGTCAGTTTGAAAATAGCCTAAGTCGACTTAAAGAAGATTAGGAGACTGTTAAAGAATGAAAAGATTATGTAGAATTGTAATTGTTATAACGGTTAACTTGATTTCTTTGAAAAATGGACTTACTTTCAAATGGCTCAATTTTCCCGCCAGTTTTCTGAACAAAATGGACGTTAGCTTCAATGGCGGTATTTGTAGAATCTTGATTCTCCTGAATATCAATGGTAATGTTGCCTTTTATGTATTATCGAGACAATTCATGTAATTATTCCATATAAAAATGTCAGATATAATGTATAAATAGAATGTAATAAAACTGAATGCAAGAAATAACGAGTTGTAAGCTTGAAGCGATGCCCAACTCCACGTGAACGAAAGCTAATATTTCCTCTTTCAATCGAACGTCTGTAACTTTAATTGTCTGTCCGTCTTAACATGTCTATCCCAGCAATTTTCAAACTTTCCGTTACCTTGGATCTCCAGGATCATCCATGTTTTTTCTAGGATCGCTCAAGAAGTTTCCACGTGGACATTCTGCAGTTTCTTAAGTCAGTGACGTGCAAAGGGATTATTTTCGTAAAACTCCTCTGTCACTTTTCACAGCGATTGTTTAAAATTTCAAACTTCCGTCGCTAATAACGACAGAGTCGAGCATGCAATTCCGGCGTAATGATGCCCGGCCGAGACTAGTCGAAGAAACCGCGCAACGTCTTCACGGCAAAGACCACAAAGCGGTCAAACAGTATTAAGGCCGATTAACGTCGGAGACCGCGGAGCTACAGTCATGAAATTCATTAAACTGTACCCCGTATTAAAATGTTCCTGGTGCGGCTTAACTGTTTCGCCGGGAGGGGATGGGAACGGTCCAAGGGAGCGAAGGTAGGACGAAAAAAACAGCCAGCCAGCTGTTTGCTTCGCGGCTTCATCCCTCTTCTGCCGTCGTTCCCTTCGATGTTTGTTTAGCGGCCGCATCTACGATGGAGATCGCGAACGAGCTCACTGGAAGCTCGTATCTGCTTCTATAAAACGAAATGCAACAGCTTCGAGCTATCATTCACCACCTTGCCCTATGATTTCTTTCTGAGTGAGCGATCTACGTTGTTGTTGACATAGAATCAGACTGGAATTTTCTCTTGCTTCTAATAAATTGTTAATAACAACTTTACAATTTTTTGTTAATAACATGTGCTCTGAGGTATAATCGTTGGTAACAGAGGAATAATGTATAATTTGCATTCAGATTGAACAGATTGTTTATGCTTGTTAACACTAGCACTACCAAGCATTTAATACGATTGATATGTAATCTCTATAAAAATTGTAACAATAGATTATTTTCAGTTTCTTTGGATATTCATCAAAATGATATTTCCAAGATCATTTCAAATATTCAATACTTTTAAGGTATTAATAACTGCGAAACAAACAAATCGAAACCAGTCATTTTGACTGTTACGGTAGTTCTAGGGTTAAATTCCATTTGAAATCATCACCACGAAACACACAATATTGTAGGGTTAACACGTTCCGTGCCACGGAAATTTCGGTTATACTTTGCTTATGAACTGTATTAATATTTTCAATAAACTAATAAGTTATATTCAAGTTTTTGTTTACTTCTATGTATATATTTTAATTGACGCATGTTCATTTTTAGACTTCAAAGCGTGCTAATTCAGCTAAGTCGCTCTTCACGTGAAACATGAACTTTCCCAGAAAGAAATTTATCTGAAACACGCTATTTCATAAATACACTCTAACGTTCTGTATTAGACCTTACCAACTTACACCTCGAAAAATTTGAAAACAATTTGCCATTAACCAGACAAGGTTTAAACATTTCCAATCACACTAAACGTAGAATCACACGATCCTCATCCAAATGAATTTTCAAATACACGGCCGCTTTTGTCCAGCGACAATGAAGATTTGGGATCGATCGACCCCTGAGATAGGGGATCGTAACGTTTAGGAGCCATTCGAGAAGATGATCCTTGTAAAAAAGCGGAATCGCGAGGGGCTACATCGAAAACGATCGCGCTGCAGAGTTGTAACGATAACAACGTGCTAAAACGTCTGAGGTTTCGTCTCGAAAAATAATCTCGACAAATACTGCTCCCAAAGTTTACGGGGCTGGAATGGCGCGTGAACATGATCCATACCTCGGGGAAAAGGGTCAATGGCATCGTTACGATCCTTAACCCTAATCGTACCACGTGTTTTTATACCGAATCATACAACGATGAGACTCCCAGTCACTTACGAGAATAAAAGGAACAGTTAAAATGTTATTGCTTTTGTTTATAGCCAAATTTTAACCCTTGGCAGTCCTATGTCAAGTCAGACTCGACATTCCATTTTATTGCAACCTCTACCTGTTTTAACAATTTCTTCTATATTTATTTGTTGTATCACAATTGTACCATTTAACGCTTTGCGGACGGATGTTGACATTTCGGCGAGATGTTCATATTAAGAAGAGTAAATGGCAAACGAATGATTGAATTACTCAAACAAGAGGCCAGTGCGAAGTTTCTCTTTTTTCTATTGATTACGCAATTAGTAGATAATTTTGCTTCGTCTGTTGAAGGTTTCGTACATTTTGCAGAATCTTCGTCCGCGAAGGGTTAAAGGTAACATTTCAATGACTCCCAAATATTCTTGAATAAATAAATAGAGCGTCATATTAAACTGAAATTAAATGAACTGACGTCGACGTAAACCTCAAAGAAAGCAAGAGCACTTCGGACCGCAAAGGGCTAACACTATTCCTACCGCGACCAGTCAAATGACCGGTAGAACGATTTATATATTTTGTAATAGTATTCTCTCAAAGACTCAATTCCGAAGCTATAAAGTCGTTACAAACGAAAGGTAATGAGTTGTGGCATGATTTTAGCCGAAAAGTGCCTTTCAGGGACTGCTTTACGGTACTTCCAAGCGTTTACAGTTCTCGCTTGCCTATCGGCCTCGGTAAAATCGGTAAAATCTAAATGTCGGAGATGGCCTTTACAGGTATTTTTCAATGTCCTAGATTTAACCGGGATAAATGCATAGATTTTATATAAAGAATCCACGGGAGAAGAAATTTCGAGGCTTGCTTTCGAACTTGCCATTGAATATCAAAAAGAACTAGAGTTAGGCAAAGAAAATCAAGCAACACCCGTCACAAATACAAGTGCAGGTTCACGCGAACGGGAACCATGCCAAGTAAGATATTGCACAAACAATAAGACTAACAAAATCTGTCTAAAATGTAAAAAGTACGCGTATGGGAAATGTACAATCGACGAACCTATTTGTAAAAAATACGGTGAAAACGAATAAAATGTAAATTATATACTTCTAAATAAAAAAAACTATATTTGTATACTGTCAAATTAGCTATTATCTTCATTCTATATTAAAAAATATAAGTTGTGCTAAAGACCAGTCATTTGACTGGTCGCGGTAGGAATAGCGTTAATAACCGAAACAAACTTTTGGAAATGCAACATGAAATAATCAAAAAATTTCAGTAAGTTCAAATGCGACTCGCGTCGTGGTCATTAGGGTTGATTGTCCGGCGATTGGTCTAGAGGTTCCAATGGTCAGCGCCATCTTTGCGGGGCGCGAGTTTTCAACCCTTTCAACTGAAATGCCGAATATGCGTTGCGGAGCCGCGAGGACAGGACGGAAACGACGCGAACCACTCAGGGCCGCCGTGATTCGCGTTGACAGCTGTTTCTCTCTCCCTCTGGCTAGCCAGCTAGCTAGCTAGGCCAGGTCCCTCGCGTGGCTAACGAGATATCGATAAGCAAATTAGTCCGCGTGTGTACAGCGCCTTAAACGACCAGACAAATAAACAGGGTCTCGGTTAATGCTGGTAATTCGATTTCCATCATCCGGTATATAAGCGCAGCCGATGGCCGGCCCTCGTTTAGCTGTAAAGTCTACATCGTGCGCGGCTACCGCGACCGGATATCGATGACCACTCACCCCGCGCGGCTTTCCCCGATCTCACCGCGCTGAACGTACCGAGTCGGTTCACCTGTAAATTCGAGCGAACGAGGCATACCGGTAATTCTTCCAGTGGAAGCTTTAACACTTTGCCGGCCGCACATTTATCGTGTCGCCGTTAGGTTGGCGCGGCCGAGTGACGCAGGAAGGCAGCAAAAGAGTTTCAAACTAACAGAAGCATCTGCTTAAAAGATTGTAACTAAAGAGGATCTGGTAAATTGGGAAGGAGAACAGTGGAAGCAATTGTTTCTCTAAAAATAGCATCGATATGTATTCCTGTACAAGCGTCGGAATGATAATCACTCGTACGTGACAGCGGCCGCTAAAGTGTTGACACTATTCCTACAGCAACCAGTGAAATGACAGTTTTTAAAATTTCGATTAGAGCTTCCTATAGACGATGTAATTGAATCGCCTTTATCACTTTTCCTGAAATATGTGTATAAAACATTTTTCAATGTTCACACCTTGTTTTATTGTTTATTATCTTCATTCTACATTAACCCCTTGCACTCCGAAGTTTTTCACTAGAAATATTTCAACATTTTCTGATGAGATAAAGACGATATTTTGTAAAACCAACTCGACGAGAAATTCACGCGAATTGACGGACAAAGCTATTTTACGTCAACATTTCTCAGACTGATGCATTGTATGAAGTATAATATTAAATATCAAACTTTATAGCTTCACTGTAGGAAATCAAGTGGTGACTCAGAGTCTCCTCCTGAGTGCAAAGGGTTAAAAAATAGTTGTGCTAAAGACCAGTCATTTGACTGGTAGCGGTAGGAATAGGTAAACGTGGAGTGTCGGTAGGAATTGTGTTAAGATTCAGCTGTCGATACCGATCGGTTCACTGTCCGATGAGTGCCAGTGTATAGTGCAGGATGACTTGGACACTATTCAGTCTTCCATGATTCATTGGCATCAAGTTTTGGATAGATTCAAGGAGCTTCCTTTAGCACAACAGACTCACGCGTTGTCTTGGTTTTGTGGATAGGAAACAGGAGTTCGAAAGAGATGGGCTGCGAGAAGTCTGAGAAAGAGATGGAGGCTGGTGGTAACCAGAGTGAGCAGTACGCCATCAATCTACCGAGAGCTTTGAATCTTGAGGAGAAGAAGTATCTGCTCGCTGTGGAGAGAGGGGATTTGGTTAATGTGAAGAGGTTCATTCAGTCGGCTAATCGAGGCGGCGTCAATGTGAGTATTATAGTGTTAGTATAAATAATGAAATGGTGGGTCTTGAGTAATCGAGAGCTAGGAATAAATGTATGCATTTAACACTAGAACTACCATACCGGTCAAAATGACTGGTTTGGAATTGTTTGTTTAGCAATTATTGATATCTTCGAAGCACTGAATTTTCGAAATGATTTTGAAAATGAATACTTTCACTAGAGTATTTTATTGAATGTCTAAAGAAACTGAAAATAATCTATTGTTACAATTTTTATAGGAATTGTATGTTAATCGTATTAAATCCTCGGTAGTTCTAGTGGTAATAAAATAAAGCTAAAACCATGGTCGAAATATAAAATATGGAAACAACACGGACAACACGTAAAAAGTACAAATAAAATTATCACATCTTTTCTCCATTTCCCTGCAAGTTTGACCTTGAATGACCTTGAGTTATATTGTCGTTGAATTCGTCTTAAAACGCACTATTTAATGGTGGATAAAAAAACATTCCATTTAAGAAAAGAAAGTTGACCTTCACCTTACCTTAGAGTGTCTACCAGGAAAAATAAAAGTTCGGCCACATGATGTCCCCCTCGGTATTGAACAACTTTCGTCTGAAACATTTTTGCGTGTAATCAATATTTTCGGAGATATTCGACTGTAACGCTCTATAATTTCCATCCTATATATAATCATTTACATGCACAAAATCAAAGACGAGTATACTAGTCGTTGGCAATGGGAAGGCAACAGGACTCGACTCGAAGTTTGCTTATTCAAAAGCCTGTATGTTATAACATATTGAAAGTAGGACGAGTATACTCATCTAGGCGATGTAGAACACCAAAGACGAGTATACTCGTCCTACTTTCAATATGTTATAACATACAGGCTTTTGAATTAGCAAACTTCGAGTGGCTTCTTTGGCAGGGTGTTCTGCGTCGCCAAGACGAGCATACTCGTCCTTGACAGCGAATGGGTTAACACCCACGCTAAGAATTCTAGATACTACAATATTTTCCTAGAGTTTGTGTAGACGGTTGTCACGCGAATGAATGTTTGTCGAGTAGAAGGCGAGTTGGCTGGAAAGTGGGCAAGTCAGGTAGCTTCGTGACTGTGTCTACACTTGTGATTCTAATGGAACCGAAGCTAGTTAAGGTCTCGAGATAATACGGTTACCGCAAGCGTTGAATAGAGAATGAGCGATTCAATTCCCAGGGCAAGACGCTGGACGTAAACTGTCTGGACAGCTTGGGCCGAGGCGCCTTGTCGCTGGCGATCGAGGCGGAGAACCTGGAAATGGTCGAGCTACTCGTGGTAATGGGCGTCGAGACGAAGGACGCGCTTCTTCACGCAATCGATCAGGAGTTCGTGGAAGCTGTCGAGCTGCTCTTGGAACACGAGGAACTTCTGACTGCTGAAACAGTGGGCAACAGTGAGTGATGAGTGTTTGCTTGTGAATCGAGCGATCTGCTTTCCGGTGCTTCAGCCGGTCCACTTTGAACCGGTGTCGATGAAACATCGGAAAGGGGCGGTGAACTCTCTTCGTTGTCTTTGCCGCGATTTTCAACTTAGGGCAAGTCAAAATTTTTAATAAAACATTCATCATACTATAATATTTACAAATAAGTTTCATATCGTAATAGTACAAATTCAGCGAAGTAATGTTTATTTTATAATAAAATTATTGTTATTTCAAACGTGTTTATATTATATCTATTACAATATAGGGAGGCGTCAAAATTTTTAATAAAAATTAATCATACCATAATATTTACAAATAAGCTTTATATCGTAACAGTACAAATTCAGTGAAGTAATGTTTATTTGGTAATAAAGTTACTATTATTTAACCCCTCGGCCTATGATTTCTTTCTCAGCTCTGATCGATACGGCTACTTTGTCATTAATAATTTCTTAGAAAAAGAGAAAAATTCTAATCATATGTTATGCCTATGTTTCCTGTTAAGTATAATAAATGATTACAGAGGAATAATGTTTACTTTAAAATCGAATGGACTGAGTAATATATATATTTGTTGAATCATGTTGAAAATCTTCACCACGAATTTCACTCGTTGTTAGACAAGGGGTTAAGACGTGTCTATATTATATCTATTACAAGATAGGGAGACGCCAAAATTTTTAATACAAAATTAATCATACTATAATATCTACAAATAAGCTTCATATCGTAACAGTACAAATTCAGTGAAGTAATGTTTATTCTATAATAAAGTTACCATTATTTAAAACGTGTCTATATTATATCTATTAACAGACAAAGAGACGCAGGGAAAAAATTCGTTTAGAGAAGCGTAGCATAAAGGTTGGAAACCGAGACATTTGTCTCTAGACAATTGTCCACTATCGAAATGGTTCGAATATCAGTGGTTCATGAAAATCCCGATGCTCTTTGCAGAAAGTACTCTCGAAATCACGCACAGTTGGCAAAAGATCGATCCAGCGACCGCGAGATACCCGCCGGAACTGACGCCATTGATCTTGGCCGCACAACGGAACAATTATGAGATCCTGAAGCTGTTGCTGGACCGCGGGGCTACTTTGCCGATGCCGCACGACATCAGATGCGGGTGCGCTGATTGTCTTAAATCGACTACAGGTAGGATTCACTGACTCCTGTAATCAGCAACACCGAAGGGTCACCCCGTGGGGGTCACCGGTGACCTCAAACAAATGGAATTACTATAATTCATTCGAAATTGATTAAGAATTATTAATTATAATATTGGTTAGAATTAATTTCGAAATATAATTCATTTGAAAATAAACAACGATTATTTGAAAACTTTCATTCGAAATTAATTGATTAAGAAGTATTAATTATAATATTAATTAGAATTAATTTAGAAATATAATCCATTCGAAAATAAACAACGATTATTTGAAAACTTTCATTCAAAATTACAAGTAATAATTATATTACAAGTAATACCACCTAATGCAGTGGTTTTCGACAAGATAAACCTGCAATAATAATAACGTAATTCAATTACATCAGTTGATGCTACATCATTTTCATTTTGTATATTTTTCTCGGCGAAATCGTGCGGCAACGTGTTAAACTATTCTTCTTCAACTCCTCCTCCATTTTGCTGATGAGTATTCCAATGTTAGGTGACCCACTGAGACTGTCTTCTACCAGAATTTCGGAGTACAAAGCCCTGGCCAGCCCAAGTCTCATAGCCTTAAGCTCACCGGACCCTTTGCTGACTGCTTTCCAACTGAGCTGGGAACTTCGGGATCTGATCATCGCGGAGCCAGAGAGCAGGGGGGAATATTTAAAGCTCCGTCGACAGGTGGAAAGGTAGCGAAATGTTCGATGCAGAACTAACATTCTCGAACATCGTAGGAGAAGAAATTCGATGGAAATTTATTCATTTCAATCTGTACATTGACTCAGCAAAATGTTATACAATTTAGTTTTCTCTGTAATTTTATACAGTTTTGTATAGTTTTATACAAATTTATATAGCTATATATAGTTTTATATAGTTTTATGCAGTTTTATATAGTTATATACAGTTTTATATAGTTTTATATAGCTTTATATTGTTGTGTACAGTTTTATATAGTTTTATATAGTTGTATATAGTTTTATACAGTTCTATATAGTTTTGTATAGTTTTATACAATTTTATATGGTTTCATACAGTTCTTTACTCATACAGTTTTACAGTTTAGTTACATAAGAACCAGAAGTATACCCTCAAGAGGATATCTAGCTTAAGGAAGACTTTCCCAAAGAAATTCTCATGTAAAACGTCCACTTCCAGTCACTTAATCCTTAACAAGATCAACTGTCTTCTAACCAGATTCGCCGTCGACCTGCTGCAACAAGTGCGCACCACCACCGAACTGCACACGATACTGAACTATGACCCCGACGACGAGAACGACCTGTCCACGAAGCAGCTGGCCAGATTGGTGCTGGCCATACAGTACAAACAGAAAACTTTCGTTGCCCATTCCCACGTGCAACAACTTTTGGCTGCGATCTGGTGAGTCTGTCGCAAAGTCGTTCCAACTTGCCACCTCTGCTCTATTCAACGGAATCATCGAAATTGTTTCGTATAAATTAGAGTCCATTATCCGTGGACAATAACGAGAGAGATAGGATAACGATTACAAACAATGCTATAATGTTATTGTCGTCTGTCGAAGGGAAAAGAGTATTTATAATCCGGCCACTATGTGACTTTCAGTGACATTTTATGTTTTTACTTAAATTTTTTTATTATTTTACATTGCCTTTTTGGGCTTTCAAAATTTGGACTCTATATATAATATTAAATAGCTGGCTTCTATATCATCGCTAAGAATTCTAAATAAAAAGTGCTTTATTTTCAAAAAATGTTCCCCCGACCTTACAATGTTCGGCCAGAGGTAGGTATAAAATAGCGCCTCTGTGACGAAGGCATAATTATAATAATTAAATATATTCTGTACATACTTAATTTAGTATGCTGGGACAATTAGTTGTATATACAAATGTGGCTATAGAACTACAGTACTCACGTAGATTCCGTTCTCCGATCGAAGGTACGACGGCCTTCCTGGCTTCCGTCGGATGACCACGGGTCAAAGGTGCGGGATCCTCGTGAAAACAGCCATGATGTTTCCGTTCTACTGCATGATGTATCTACTGGCGCCTGAATCGAAAATTGGCCGGCTGGTCCGGAAGCCTTTCGTAAAGTTTCTTACTCACGCCTCGTCTTACTTGTTCTTCCTGTGTGAGTCACCAGATTTATCGCATTTCTTATAGAATGATAATGTAAATTATGTGTGACATTAGATTGACAAGTTCCTTATGCTTGAAAGTTTGATGACGTCGAACTCAACCGGACCTTTCACTTGTACAATGATTTCTTTCGATGTTCAGCTCGATGGAACCGTTCGTCGTTGATAATTTCTTGATTACTATTGTACTTCGTTATGGTGTAATAAATGTTCCGAAGTAATTTCAAGGCGAATGATCGTTGCAGTCATTCTCATGTTGGTTTCGCAACGCGCGGAAGTCGGGGTAGTTCGATTGTTCGGCAGCGAGGACACGAAGAGGAGCCTCGAAGCAGAGCTGGCCAAGCAAAGAGGCGCTGCCCCGACGATTTTAGAGGGTATCGTTATCTTGTACGTTCTTGGATTTATTTGGCAGGAGATGAGAGAGGTACTGGCGACGACTGGCAATTATATTTTTAGTATTTTAGTTAACCCTCTATTAGCTCGTGTCACTTTGAAGTCACACATCAATATTCCGAGTTAAATTGACGTATTTACTTTTTTATTGCAATATGACAAACGACATTAAATAATTAAACAACTTAAACTTTTGTACACACAGGCGTTTACGTTAACGTCATTGTAATTTCAAAGTTACAAAATATATTCGATTCAATAAAATTGTTGAAACTATTGAATACATTGTTAATTTGTGTTCATATGTTGATATTTATTAATTTCATACTGCATAAATTTTGTTATAATCACGAAACAAAATTCGGCCCATAGAGGGTTAAGAAGAGTAATTCCTGAAATGCTTGAAAGAATCATAGAAATTTAAACAAATCCTAATCTATCTTCAGAAAGTACTCGAAAGAAATGTTTTCTAGAAGAAAAGTTCACCTTCGGGACGACAGTGTGTGAACTTTCATGAATATTCATTTAATATTCTTTCCTTGTGTTAATTGTTTCATTTGTTTGAAAAGTATGTGTTCCGTCGTGTTACATTTTCAAGGCTTACGTGGACGGGCTGAAAGCGTACTTGCGCGACATGTGGAACTTCATCGACTTCACCAGAAACTTTCTCTACATTGCGACCGCGGTGTTAAGGGTAGCTGCGTATCTGCAGCAGAAAGCTGAAATAACGAATGATTCTATGGCAGCCCTGGTGCCCAGGGAGAACTGGAGTGACTTTGATCCACAGCTGATCGCTGAAGGCTTGTTCGCGGGGGCTAACATCTTCAGCGCTCTGAAATTGATCCATTTGTTCAGCATTAATCCTCATCTAGGTCCTCTTCAGGTATCTTCGTTAATTTCACGTAGACAAATATTTATCGATAATTCTTTAATTCCTTTTGAGTGGAGAACGTTCAGTGATACTTCATTAAAATCTTCAAGAAGTTTAAACAATCAGTATTGTTACACTTCAGTGCTACTGCATTAAAATGGTTGACAGAGTTGAAAATGAAACAAAAGAAAAACTTAGGTTTAACTCCAATCTTTGTAAACTATAGAGAATTTTATTTTATACATAGATTTGCATTTTTGTTAATTATAAATTCGAATTAAAATATCTTCCTGCAGATATCCCTTGAAAGAATGGTGATAGACATTAAATTCTTCAAATGTAAAATAAACAAAAGAAAAACTTAGGTTTAACTCCAATCTTTGTAAATCATAGACAATTTTATTTTATACATAGATTTGCATTTTTATTAATTATAAATTCGAATTAAAATATCTTCCTGCAGATATCCCTTGGAAGAATGGTGATAGACATCGTCAAGTTCTTCTTCATCTACACGCTCGTGCTATTCGCCTTTGCCTGCGGCTTGAATCAGCTGCTTTGGTACTTCGCCGAGTTGGAGAGAAAGAAATGCTACGTTGGCTTCGCTGATCCTTCTTGGGACGCTGCCAGTGAATCTTGTCTAAGATGGAGAAGGTAGAGCGGTTTCATTAGGAAACCTCTACCAAAAACGCTTCCTCTTGACACTCGATTTTTGTCCTCTAAAGGTTCAGCAACCTATTCGAGTCCTGTCAGAGTCTCTTCTGGGCCAGTTTCGGCGGTATTGGAATAGAAAGCTTCGAACTCACGGGTACGTCGACGTTTCTCTGACTTAACACTTTCAGAATCCTATATTTTACATAATTACAATGAAATTAGTACTATACATATCGTTATTAGAAATTACAAACTACGACATTAGATTTAGGAACTCGATGACTCGTCTCAGTTTCATTTTTCTAATGTTTTGTTTAGATTTATCGGACCGAAGAAAATTAATGACGAAATTAACCCTTAGCACTCCAGATGATTTTGTAATCTATCAGCAACTGCAACGAATTTTTATAGTATCCCTAGCGAAAATGAAAAATGCTATGACATTTTTTCGATTTTTTATTTTCCTTCTCAGTAGAAAATTTAATAATTTTACGGTAGTTTTAAGATTCATTCGAATATTTAATACTATAACTGGTACAGTATTGGAGCCTATAGAGTTCAAAGGGTTAAGGTTAGATGTAAAGCACTTAGTAAGGGTTGTTCTCGACATTTGCTTACAGGAATCAAGACTTACACTCGGTTTTGGGGTTTGCTGATGTTCGGATCCTACTCCGTGATCAATGTTATCGTCCTGCTGAATCTGCTGATAGCAATGATGAGCAACAGCTACGCCATGATAGAGGTGAATCCCTGTAACTATTGTTTCAGCCGTTGTCGTATTAACCAGTTAACTGTGTAATTTAATTGGAAAAACCTCTGATTCTGCGCACAATAAAATCAAAAAATGGAACGTGTACTCGTCGAACGCAGGACGAATGCACGTAGAGTATATTTTAATGAGTGATCAAAGCGAGACAAAGAAGAATTACAGTTTTATGTGAAAAAATAAAGAATTCATCGCTGAAAGAATTAGTATCGTGTCAAGCTTTACGATGACGTGTGTACTCGTCAAACACAGTTAACTGGTTAAAATGTAGTAATAGAAATGACATAAGTAAGACAGGAAACATTGGAACAACAAATATTCCATGAACTTCGCAGGAACGAGCAGACACGGAGTGGAAATTCGCGAGGACGAAGCTATGGATGAGCTACTTCGAGGAAGGAGGAACTCTCCCGCCACCTTTCAACATCTTCCCAGCGCCAAAGTTGTTGCTGAGGCTGTGCGGTATTCAGAAGAAGGATCTCAACAGGAATAACAGCCAACGCATTGGAACACACGACTCCGCTAAGTAATAAATAATTATTATTCCGCTGCTAACTTTAATAGGAACCTTCATCAATTAACATGTTCGCTACCAGCGTTTGTTTCACTGATCCTCCCAATTCTAATATTTTATTCGATTCGATAAATCTTCTCGACAAACTATTAAAAAAAATGAGGCTAAAAGTCGTTGAATCCCTAAATGTAATTTCGTAGCTAACTTTAACTAACTATATCTATAGGATTAAGTCTCTCGCTAGAAATATTTAACATTTCTTCACCAGGCGAAGACGATATTCTTTGAAACCGACTCGAAGGGAAATCACAAGCATTGAAGAACAAAGCTATTTTATTCCAATATTTCACGTAACGTGGCATTATACATTCAGCATTAACCCTTTGCGGACGAAGGTTCTTAGAAACATACGAAACCTTCATCAGATGAAGTTAAATTATATATCAATTGCTTAAACAATAGAAAATGGAGAAAGTATGTGCTGATCTCTTGCTGTTCAAATAATTGAATCGACTGTTTGAAACTTAGTTCTCGAAATACGAAAATTTCATCTCTAAATGTCGACATTCGTCCGCAAAGGGTTAAATATCAAATTTTATAGTTTTCATGCGTCTCAGTCACCACTTGATTTGATACAGCAAAATTATAAAGTCTTATATATAATATTAAGCTTTGTATGATGCATCAATACATAGAACATTGAAATAAAATAACTTTCCTTCTTAATTCATATATTTTTTCTCATTAATTAGTTTAATTAGTCTGTATCCTATCAGAAAGTGTTGCATATTTCTAGTGAAAAACTTTCGAGTGTAAAGGGTTAATTTCATTTTCTTTATAAAAAATGTAAAATTTCGGCCGTCACAAATATGTAACACTGATAGCGAACGTGTTAAGCAAGAGGTTAATCCTCGTTCATCCGTTCTTCTAAACAGGTACGCAGCAGTGATGAGAGCGTTAATATGGCGGTACGTGGTGAACGCTCACTCCGAGCACGAAATGGATCCTGTCACCGAAGATGACATCCACGAGCTGAAATCGGACTTGTCCTCTTGGAGGTGCGAGCTGCTGGAAGTGCTAAGGAGGAATGGAATGGACATTGCTGGCGCTGATACCAAAGAACGAAGTATAGAAACATTACAGATTGTCCTAAACTTTCAAATCCATGTCTGTCTATAACAATCATCAATTTACCGATGATCACGATTGGTAATCAGCTGTCTTAGGCAAGAAGATGAAGGTCTGGGAAAGAAGGTTGATGAAGGACTTCCATGTGGCGACGCACGTGACGTGTTCCCTTGACATTGAAGAAGATGGGAAATTAGAGCAGCCTGTAGAAGGCGAGGACAACGTCGCCAGATGGAAGAGAATTGCGAAATTAGCCGTACAGAAATCGCCCGATCATCGCTGGACACAGGTTAAACGTAGTAAACACGAGAAAATTGTATAATTTCTGTTGTTATACGAATAACACAATTTTAGGTGGTGAACTGCGCTATCAGGAGCTCGCAGATCGGCAAGAGCAACAGCAAAGCGTCGATGCAAAGTCAACAGAATTTGAAGATTGCCATGGAGGAGGCGCAAAGGCTGGCTAACACGAGTCCTGTGCCACCTGCGGTGCCTATTGACCTACCAGAAACCTACCTACCTGCTTCGACGATCCTACATGTCCTCCAGGACATCGCAGAGACCGATGAAACGCCGAAGGTCAGGCACCCTGAACTACCTAAGGTCACAATATCGTCGGATCCTGTTACACACAGTATTAAGGTAAGATTCACCCCTTGTCCTATGATTTATTTTTCACCTGTGATAGATACAACTTTGTCAGTAATAATTTATTAGAAACAGAGGACCATTCTATGGGTTTTCTATATCTCTCTCTACAATATAGTGATTAATAACGGAAGAATAATATTTCATTTTAACTCAAAAGAATCGAGAAATGTTTATGTTTGTTAGATCCTATTTAAATTGTTCACGAGTCTCGCACGTTATTGTAAGGCAAGGGGTTAAAAAATATAATACCTGAAGTAAGGTCAATCAATTTAATTTAATGTCAATTGTTATGATTTCTTTCACAATTCTGTTTGATAAATCAGTTTATCGTTCGTAATTTAATAGAAAATGAGAAGAATTTCATAGTAAAGGTTAAAGATTGACAGTATAGAAGTAATGTGTCGTTTCTATGAAAAATTAATGAATATTTAAATTTGCCGAATTAGGCCGACAATTTTCATCTCGAGTCTGACTCGACGTTATAGAAGTGGTTAACATTGGGTTTACAGGCATTTATTGTATAGAGCATTCTATTGTTTCTAGAAAAATTGATATGCGTTGAGATCTTGGAAATTAGACGGTTAAAAATTGACAATTAAACGTTTATCAAATAGAGTTCGCAAAATTCAATATGAATTTTGAGAGATGGAATAGAATTCTGTTTTTCCTGTTAATAGAAGGTCTTCCTGAAAATCTTTTTTAGTAATCGTCGAGGAAAAATGCGAAAGAATATTAGCTGAACGGTTTAACCGAGAGAAATATTTCCGTATGAATTTTTTCGAACGAGCTCTCTTTCACAGCCGAAGCCCACAACGTCGATGGACTATGTCGACGAGAAACCCATTAAATTTGCGTCGTCTGCGCCACAACATTCGCCGGCGCGCGCCGTCAAAAGGAAGTCCGTGAACTCTCAGACGACCGGCAGCCAACAATCGACAGGTAAAAATTTCATGTGTTCCATTTTCTAGGGAGACAAAAATGCTAAATGGAACTTTATTTCCATGAAAATATGTCGACCTTTGTTTCATTCTTTTCTTATTTGAATATAAGAAATTAATGAAGATACTTTGAA